GTGTGCACAATCACCGCGCTGTGCGATGTGAAATTTAAAATAGTACATAAAATCTGTGTGCGTGCAATTTTTTTCTTAACACCACAAATGTGCGTGTGCATATTTTAAAAAGAACTTCCACTCGCACAGTGCGGTGTGCGAATGTGCACCACATTCCGAACTATGGTTTTTAGCCACGCTTGAAAGGTGCATCTATTATTTGTTTTTTTCTGAATTTCAAACACCTTTTTTAGTCTATGGAACGACATTTTTGGAACTCAAGTATTGTTTTGTTCTTATTATTCACTATTTCACACACATTATGTATATCTTTTAAATTTTCCTGGTTTTCCATTCGAAAAGAATTATTTTTCATAATAGAAAATTCACAATCTTGCCGCGTCGTTGCGAATACGAAATTAATGTGTTACAAAAAAAAAACATTGAAAACGCATTCCCAATACCTTTACACTTGCAATACCAAAAGTTAATGACTATGCTAGGTAGCTCGTCTGTGATAATTTGTTCAAAAGCAGCTGTTTTCTTTCTAGCAATTAAAGCGCGAGATTTAATTTTGTGTTAATTTGTATTAATTGTATTAATCTGTAGTGTGTATATGCTTTGGCTTATTTGCTGACCGCGCTATTTGTTAATATTTTCCATTCTCATGCTAAATTGTAAAAATTTATGCAAAAAGAATACGATATCTTGTTTTTTAACTTAAGAAACCTTGACCGTCTTGCGCGAGGCATAAATGCTGAGCTTGCAAGTCTCGCTATGTGCACACTATCGTCCAAGTAAGTTTAAGAATAGAAGATATAAATAAAGTCAGTATCGACAAGTAACTCAAAAGCAACGGAGTTTTATTTTATTATAAAGTCAACACAACAACCCATTAAATATTTATTAATCATATATATGTTTTAATTAAATACCCATTAGGTCTTCCACAGTTTAAATATAACTGTTAAGTCTGAAGTTATTTATTTTATTTGTATTATAAATAAACTATTTATTTAAACTATTTATTTATTTTTATTTAATAAACTATTTACATTAGGCCTTTTCGGTGTCTCGCAAATATGGCAAAAAACAGTAAGTTGCTGATCTATACGCAAATGTACGCAAAACAACTACACTATTTTCTCCATCTACACCAGCAGGCCGATCCTCTAATCCCTATCGCTAAAACTCCAATCTCTTCGCTAAGATTCTTAAATAAGCAATGCGTTTATTTTAGGAGAATAAGCGGTCGTGCGATTCTGCTAAAACAATCTCTTCGCTGAATTTATCCGGCGATGTGGATAATGCTGAAATGCATTGAAATGTCAAAATAAAAACAAAAATTGTAAACAAATATCAGCTGTTGAAATTATAATTTAAATTTGAAATTTAAAAGCAGATACTACAGCAAAAAAGTATTTAGCCATTGTGAAATTTAAATTGAAATTAAATTAATATGACATTGGTGTGTGGATTAATTAAATAATGGATTATTTAATAAGAAAGAGATTTTTTTACCTGGTGATATTAAAGATTCACGGAATCATTTACGTTTCAAAAGAAAATGTTTGCGAAATTCTATAGACCCCTTCGCTATATTTGATGAGCGTTTTATTGAAATATTTCATTTTCAAAATATTTATGTGAGCTTTTCTTGGCGGAAATAACTTCGTACATAGTACCGAGAAGTCGATCAGATGGAATTTCGAGGGACATACGTGTACTTGTTGCTTTACGCTTTTTTGTTCAAGGTAAGATGATGTTAAATAATTGCAAAAAAACAGTGACGATTGCTCTAAGGTGCGGAGGTGTGCGATGAACACCCTAACATAATTTGCAAAATGTCAAATAACATAAGTATATAAATTTATTAAGTATCTTCACATCAACAATTATTATTATTTACAACATTTCCATATACATATATATTTTTAAAGTTTTAGCAAAAACAATTAAATATAATTGTCTATGAAAACTCAATCAATTTGCTTCTGTTAGCCGCTATACTTGTTAGTTGTGCTCATATATTTGCAGCTCAAATCACAGAACATTTCTATTTTATTTCGTCTCTCCCCTTTGTGTGCAAAGAAGTTGGCCGCACATTCATACGTTGCATATGAACAAAATAATGTGCGTGTACTCCCGTTCATAAAATCAGAAATAGAGATTTATATAGTGGGAATTGTATGAGAGTAATTTTCTGTTCTACTCGAATATCAACTGCACGCATACGAATCCAACATGATGATTTACCAAAGTGGTTGCATGAGCGGCTGAAGTTTGCAGCTCATATCACCATACATTTCTATCACATTTCGTCTCTCCCCTTTTAACAGTATCACCCACGAATTTCTGTAGCTTACTGTGCGGGGTACTTGTCCGCAAATTTATACGTTGCGAGTGGGTTCGATCTTGTTTGATCACTGCATAAACATGTATGTTTCCAAGTACAAACTGTTTTGTTTGAAAAAAGTTGGTTTGATGTTACGAGAATTATTTGAAAAATTTTGTTTCTTCCATATTGATATAATATTAAACTTATATATAAATTATTAATTTAATTTGTTTAATATGTTATTTGGTTAATGAATTGTTAATATAATATTGCGAATATATTGTTGCCTAATATAATATGGTTATTATTAATAAAAGATCTCATATATTTTAATTTAAGTGGTACATGTAAAAACAACATTAAAGAAGGGCCGCACACCCTTCCAGATAGGGCACGCGTCGTCACTGCAAAAAAAGTGAATCCATTGTTTTAATTTATAGGATGTTATCAGCGTTCTGTGGGCCAAAGCTTTTTATTAAATGTTTCTTGGTTTTGTATTTAATACGGCGTTTATATTGGCCGAAAATGGCTCATTTTGAATGAGCCATTTGAAAGTGTTTACATTCGTTCTATTTCATTTGTTCTCATTTCAACAGCTGATTTTTCAACTTGCATGTTGATTTGAGTTTTGGTCTGTGCCAAAAAAATGTTGCATGAAGGTTAAATATGCCTTCAAACCTTACATTAGAAACTTAAAATATATTTTAAACTTCGATTAATTACTTTTTGGGAAGTAAAAGTTCTAAAAAACAGTGCATCGTTTTCAAGAAAATGCAACCACCAAACATTTGTTTGCCTTTTTTTGTAAATATGTTAAAAACAGCTTTTTCAAACTGTCAAAATGCCATGAAGAGCTTTCATTTAGGGTATGTTCAATGGATTCCTTTGCATTTGGAACGTATGTAGAATGCATTCGAACGTCATTCATACAGAATGTGAGAAAATTGCTCATTTTTGTGCTTGAAATTTTATATGCAAGAATGAGCCATTCGATACTCATTTTCGATTTTTGACCAAAATGAGCCATTTTCGGCCAATGTAAACGCCGTATAAGTCTACGAATTCCATTATAAATATTTGAAAATTAAATAATAAATAAAATATATTAAATAATATATGTGTAAATAGGTACATAATTATTTATTTTTTTCACTGTTTAATATGCAATTCATTTATTTTTGGTACAATTTCAAAAATTATAGATGAAATATGAAAAAAAAAATACATTTGTTTACACTTGCTGAATACCAAACACACTCTCACTATATTACTGCCACAAAATTTTTGTAATATTAATAGTTATTTTTTTTTACATTTTAACTTTAAATGCAAGTTTATTTCTATCGCAATAAATTAATTAATAAATAAATATGAATATTATACTAAATAACGTACAAATTAATTGCTAAATTTTTTTAAAAAATAATATTTTCATTTTTAGCGACAGTAAAAACCTAACCGCCAAAAATAATCAAATTAGGAGAAATTTTGGTCGTTTTTAACGATATTTAGCGATTGCCAATTTAGCAGAGTACGAAATTTGGAGATTTAGCGATTTATCCGGAGAAATCAGCTGTTTTTGAAAGTTGAGAAAGTTAGCGAATAGAAATGAAGCGTAACGAGTTAGCAGAATCGCAAAAGTCGCTAAAATGCATTTAAAGAATTTTGGAGTTTTAGCGATAGCGATTAGTGGAATCGGCCTGCAGTAGTTGTATACTGTGAACTAGTGTAAATCTTTATTGGAAATTCCAACGAATATTGCAATCATATGTCAAAAATCATATGTAAACAAAAATTCAAAAATTTCAATAATTTGAGAATTGGAAAAAAAGAAAAATTTCACCGTTTTGTTTTGAAATTTTCAACATTTTTACCATTTCTTTTAATTTTGTGTTCATTTTAATTTTTAATTTATGTTCATTATTTATTTTTATACAAAATGTAATATACCAAAATATAACACTTGACAGATTGCAACAGTGATGCCAATGCTTCGCGTAGCAAATATAGACCAGCTTGCATTTTTTGCCATACTTGCGAGCCACCGAAAAGGCCTATTGGTAGCTAAAATATGTACAACGAAATATGCTGTTTTAATAACTCTGAACGACAAAATTACGGCTTATGTAAACGACCAAATCTTAAAAATATGTGTAAAATGAATTTTATTTAAAATGGTTAAATGTTTTTATTGACATAAGATATACAATTTTAATAGTTCATCTTATATAAGAATTCATAGTGTATAATTTACACACCTGAAAATCGATTTAAATTTGGAGTATATTTTAACAAAATTATTTAGTCTTAATATTATAATTTATTTTTCTTAGATATATACATATGTATAATTCGAATATGTGAATGTACTATTCCCCAAAGTTCTTAATTAAAGTCAAACTAATGTTTTATTATGTACCTAATGGGAATGTTAAAATTTTGATATATAACAGAGATTGGAAACCAGATGAAATATTTTGTGTATAAAAGTAAAAATTTGTTTTCTTGAAAAAGAGAGTCGTCCTCTCATTTAATGAAGAAAGTTTCAGTTTTGCATATATTGCCTTTTAGAAACTGTGAATTGGTAGCATTGTTGGCGCCATGTCTCTTTTGAGTATTTGTATAAAAATTGAGATTTTTAATATGGTATATTTCTTTGTAAATATCTGACTTTTCGAGTTTTCTCATTTGTCTGTGCTCATTCGATTGGTGATTGTAGTTGCGCGAACGCTGTGTTGGTTTCAGGGGTTCGGATTGTGTAGCGTTTTGGTTTTTTTTTTGTTTTAAAAGTATTGATTAATGTAATCAATGAAATTGTTACTAAGTGCGCAGCGGAGAAAAATACAATTTTTTAGCACATTATACTTACTCAGCAGCCTTAGTGTTTATACTATTGAATGTGAAAATTAATTCATTTTAATAGAATAAGGAAGAAAATATAAACTAAAAGTAGTTAATATATAATAAATTTAATATTTTCACATAAAAACATGGAGCTTGTTTGTTTGCATGAAACCACTACATTTCTGGTGAAACAACTATAGGCAGCGCATACATACTTAAAAAAAACAAAAACAATAGTCGATAAACATCAGCGATAAGAAAGCAGAGCCGCCGATATATAAGACAAAAGGATAATACACACTGTTATTCAATATAAAAAATAGGAATAACATTTAATGCAAGCAAACCTGACATTTCCTTAAATTTGGATAAAAAGGTTTAAAAATGTATTAACGTAATTATTTTGATGTATCGTTAGTTTGTGATCAAAATTTATGTTAAATATTTTAACATTTAATTGTGCTTTTTTATATGTAATAACTTTAAGCAGATTTAAATAATTAAGACAAAATGTCGGCAGCCATTGCTCAAAAAAAAACTGCTTCAATATATTTGAAGAATTCTGGTATATATGAATCGGTAAGTTTATTTATCAATGAAGTTCATTTTTATAATCAAGCATTTAATATATATGAATTTGGTTGTGGGATATTACAAAAATGCTGAAACAAATTTCATATAACAATAATCGCCAATCACCATTTATAAAGTAACATATAAATTTTATTGATATTAAATGGTTGTTATTAAAGTTGTTTTTCTAAAAATTTGAACATTTAGTTATTGTTTGTTTTATGCGTTTTTATATTGTATTTTAATTTTTTGATTTTTTTTATCGCACAAATAAATTATAATCACATATGTTATAATAAAATAATTTCAATTTATATATATTTCAATATATGTGATCATAAATATATATGAATAAGTTTCAGTTTGGTCTTCTTGTTTTCTCTTATTCTTATCGTAAACAAGTTTCTAAAGCATCGGTTTAGTTCCGGGTTTTGTTTTGATTCGTCGAGTCATAAGCTACTTTAAAATTTGGTAAATTGTAGGTAAGCGAAAGGAGATGACACTTCTCAAACTTAATATCAATGCGCTTATTTGCATTTAAATCCCTATAATTCATATTTAACAATTGTAATTTAAACGCAATAACGAAAATACGAAGGCTTCATTTTATTAATGAATAAATATGGGACAATAAAAGAGCTGTGCGAGTTTATGACTGTTCGAAATATCAACACATATACAATTTATATAAATTCTATTTCCTGTTCAGCGATAACAAGTAAAATGTTTTGAGTTGTCAAATAACGCTAAAGAAAATATAATAAAAGCAAGAGAATTGTATGAAGTGGCAATCGTGTTTATGAGGATGTTAACGTTAACGACTACGCTTGCAGCAATAATTACATGAACGCGACAGACATATCGAAATTAAATTCGCTTAGAGCCCACAACTACCACCAGCTATCCCTCTTTTTCTATTTATGAAATTTGTGTGTTGGTGAGTTTCAGAGCAGTTTGTTTTTTTTTTTCTTCTGCCACCTCATTGTTCTGTTCAATCGAAGTTAATTTTGAGTATTTTCTTTTATACGTGCTCAGAGTCGAACTTAGAAGTAGCGTGTCGCTGCTATTTGAATTTCTATGCAGGTATAGAGTTTTGTTGTTTTTGTAAAGTATCCAATAAGTCAGTGCAATCATTTTTTTTTAAATGTGTTTACCAGGTTGAGTAATGATGTTCTTAGTAGATTTCCACTTATATTCGATGTTTAATATTTTATAGGACTTAATTTATAGAATTGGATACATAGAGAAGTAATACACATGACGCAGCACGTGCTCTACACACTACAAAACAATTTTAATAAGAAAGTAAATTTTGCTGGTATGTCAAGAAGACAATTGTGTACTTTAACATTATTTAAAAAGTTATAGTTCGAGAAAATTTATTTGAAATCAACAAATTTATATAAAAATTATGATTATGAAAGTTGTGTTAAAACTGTAACTTTTAAATAATTGACGACTTTAGTGACCTGACCATTAGAAACAGATATTCTTAGAAAAGTTCATCATGACAGAAAATTTAGGGGACTTCCTTTGTTTTTGCTTTAATGGAACAAGGGCCGTATTTTCAAATTAAATAGTTCGTGTTTTTTTTTTGTGGGTTTTGTTATTAATATTTTATTTTTGTCTCTTTACTTTGTTATATCACTAAAAAGGTTGGTAAATGGCAGGTGGAGATAGCTACATATATACATTTTAAAAAAACTTTCTTGAAGGTGCCATATTTACACCAAATTCAATTTGTAATCACCACTACGTTCATTAAAATACAGTAAAATTGAACATAAGTTTTACAATTGGGCAGTCACAAAATGTATCACTTATTAAATTTTTTTTTTTTTAAAGTATTATAATATATTCTATCTGTTAAAGTCTGTGAGGTTCATTTTGGTTTATGAAATCACAAAAAACCTTTCCAAGCTATTTCCAAAACTATAAAGGTTGAGAAATGATTAAAAAAAAATGAACTTTTTTGAAGTTCAATTTTTAGGAATCATGCATTTTCTAAAAATTTTTTAAAAAGATAAAATATTTTTGCCAATAAATACTTACACAATTAAGGCGCTTATCGAAGACTATATGCTCTGAAAGTGTGTTCTGAATTAACTGGACTATTATTGATTAATAAATATGTATTTGTCTACCGGCGAAGGTACTATACCAGCATTTTTTTTTTCAAAAAAGTAAATAAAAATAAGGAAGATATTTTTCAAACTTAGGCACTGAACTTTATAAATAGAGAACGGCAAGATATAAGATATATTTAAACGCCAGTATAAAAGCATCTATTGAAAAATATTGATGTTATTGTGTTATATAACCGCATTACTGCACTCACTATTTCATACATGTAATATATAGTGTTTTATTTTAAATAATAATTAACAACTTAACTTATTAAATACATATGAATTCGACTGATTGAACTCAAGTAAATATTTTTATTAATTTTAGGCTGAAAAGTTATAAAATTTAAATTTGCAAGCTTAGGTTCGAACTTACTTTGAAATATAGCAGGTCCACTGAGTTTAAAGTTTTTGACAGATTCAAATACATAGATAAAGGAAAGAAAATCAGGATTAAAATACTTCACAAATTATTAAATTATGTTAAATAGAAGAATATTAGGCAATCGAATAAAAACTGGCTGAATTGCAAACTAAATACTGCTTAAATATATATTATAGAGATGTAATAAACGTTTAAAATATCATTTGTTAATTCAGATGATTTTTAAAATATTAGATGCCGGATTCGTAATATTAGTTAATGTTCGATTAACTATTTCGAAATTTAGAAATCATTACTACAAAACTTTAAACATTGCATTGTCTTAGTAAAACACAAATCATTCTACGGACGTTTTTTTGGTTACTTTGGTCTTTAGTTAAAGTAGTAATGCTATATGGGATGCTCTAAGCTATTCTGCACCCTGTTTTTTACGGCAGTCAATTGGGAAGACGCTTTTTCAGTCCAAAAATTAGTAACGATGGCTATCCCAACTCATGGGACAGTTTTCAACTTCTTTAAAGCTTATTCATAATTAACGACTAGTCATGAAGTCAATTAAAAGAATTATATACGATACTTCATATACGTTATCTTATGACGATAAGCATAACAGATTGCTTATCCAACAGTTTGTTTCAAAACATGGGATCAATGTAGTTTCGCTACCACACTGTTCTTTATGTTAGATACGACATTCTATAATTTTTTTTATTTCAATAATATGTACAGTTGAAATCGTTGAGTAAGATCAGACGACTTAAAACGATCGAAAAATCTTTTCTTTTCAGTCTTTCTTAAATAACGATGGTATAAATGAATAATATCACAAAGAAATACTTTGGATAGTTTAAATGTTGGGTATTAAAATATTGAAGTTTATTAAATAGTTGTTTAAATAAGGTTTAATCACAGTCGAAACACAACTTTTGAGTTACATAATTATTACGATTTTTATTGAAGTCTTTTTGAACCAAAAGCAAACAGAAATCATTTAAATTATATGAAAGACTCTAATTTATTTAAGTTTTCAAATATTTTTGTATTGAAATGCAGTAAAACTTCGAAAATGTTTAAATAAATAATTTGGCAACACACACTTACGGAACTCATGCGCAACACAAAACAAAACTTAAGCGTCGACCTAGACCTTAATAATGGGGTATTATCTAAATAATATCAGTTGAGTATAAATTTTTAACATGGTAAGTATGATGGTAGCATTTTTCTCTCGTGTTGTTTTGTATGTCTCTCATTGTTATTGTTTTCAATAAAACTTCAAAGACAAACTATATATTAAAATTGATGTGTGGAAGAGGTATCAATAATTGCTTTTATTAAAAGGCATTTTTATTTTGATGAGAGTTCAGTATGAAAACAGGACTATCTCGTTTTATTACCTAATTTAGTATATAAAATATGTGCTTAATGCAATGTAATATATTAAACATTTGGTGAACACACACTATTGTCAATTAAATAAATTGTGCTTTAATGCATTAAAAGAATGATATAACAAAATTTTGTTTTAATACTTTTAATACTATAAAGCAAAAACTTTTTTCACCAATTCCATTAAACTATTATGACATTTCTTTGAAATAATAGTCCTGCGTTTGTTTTTATACTGCTTTATGATTTTTTATATTATGTTTTAAAGTTTTTAATTTTTCCAATACGCTTTTAATCTAAAGGGTAAATGAGTCAAGAATTGTAGCTAAAAACTTGACCCAAATAAAACAGGGTTTGTTGCTTTCACATTCAGAAATATACATCTTTAGCCCCAATCTTTTGAGGCAATTTTGTACCTTGATCAAATTTCATGTTTATAATTTTAAAATAAAATGAGTAAATTGAACGGTATGAAACTAACAAGTAAATATGATGAATCTACTTCATCAAAATTCTATTATCAAAAAATGTGTTTTCACTGGCTTTTTATTTATTTTATCCTATTGTTAAGTTATTTCCAGGCCAATAAACCGTATGCAGCTGATTCTAAACTAGTTTATATTTTTTTTTAAAAAGATTGCGACTAAAATCAATATTTTTTCTTTTTCCGTTTTTGAACATAGAGAAAAGTTAGTAGCATTTACACTGGTTGAGCATACCAAGCACAGAGTAATAGAAATTATTGACTACATGGAGTGATTTCTACTATACTCAGGAGTAGAAATCATTGACTGCATATGCAAACTATTCTTTAGAATCTTTTGTTCCGAAGGATTATACAGTGGTTTAATCAGTTAAGCTTTTTTAAATATTAGTGATAGGAAAATAAGTTTTACTTCTAGAATACTACTCTGTATTTATTTATTCATTTAATAAATAAGTACCGTAGTTGTGATGACATTGGTTAAGAAACGTCAACCTGCTTTAAGTGTACTAAGCACATTCCAATTTTGTGGTTTATTTATTCAAGATCTTTGTTTATCATCCTCATCAACGGTAAAATATTAGAATCGTGTGGGTTTAGTCCTAAACTGTACAAAATCTCA